GTAACTATACAAAACTTCCATCTGTAACATGTGGCATAGATTAAATATTAGGAACACTAGACTTCATTAGTGTGTTATTATCATCCTCCCCATTTTATGGATAAGAAAACTGAGGCCACAAGAGAGGAAGTAATTTGCCCAGAGTGATACAACCAATAAAGAATAGAACGACGATTCAACCTCAGTCAGTGCTGACTGCCTTGCGGGTACCTGTGGTAAGGGTTAGGAATTCTTGGCTTGTAATTGCTGAATTGATTATGTAAATCAAAGAACGGGTGTTGTTCTTTGTCATGTCCATTTCTAAACCAAAAACTATCTATCTCTAAACCTTAGAATTTTGTGGAAGCAAAAAGAGCTCAATTCTTCTGACGACTGATGACATCTAAGGAACTCTTTTAGGCCTTTAAAGTAAAATCGAGTGTATCGTGACTTACTGGGTTCCAGAGGCATGAAATAATCTTTGTGCCTGGCTCCTAAGCAGCTGACATTGCCAAGGAAAACTTGAAGGGATGGGGAAGACTTCATTTTGTTAAAATGCTGGAAAATTCTTTTATTCCAAACCAAAATAAGAGTAATACTTGTAGCCGGGTGGTGATTGTAATGTCTGCCTCAGTCCTAGGTTTTGGTGTATGAGGAAAGCCAAGACTAGGTTTCGTAGACCAAGAACATAGGCTCATTTTACGTTTTTAATGGAAACTACTTTGGTAAGCTAGACAAGATCCGGCCTCTCTTTTTTTCAGGTCTTCGTGGATGTCCACAGCCGTTACAATTCTGTCGCCAATGAAACTTTTTGCCTTGAGATCATGGATAGTTTGAGGAGATGTTTAGGCCAGCAGGCTGATGTTCGACTCATGCTTTATGAGGTAAATCAGCAGAGTGGAGAGAATATAGCAATCCCCCAACTAATAATCTTTATTTTAACATTTTTTTCCTCATTATAAAGGTACAGTACATACACTCTTATTTGATGCAGTTAGGACCGGTAGTTAGTGATGGCTAGCCAAAAAGTCATTTAAGGGGAAGATTCATAAAAGAATAGTTGAAATATCTTAAATTTTTTTTAATTTGAAATATTTAAATGTACCATTAATTTGCCAGTCTTTTGTTTTAAAGCCAGGTTCTGCCATTTGGAATTCACTGTCTCTCAAACAAACCATAACCTTAATTTATTAGTTTTTGTTTAACTAAAGTGAGATACAAACTTTAAGACTTTAATTAGTGTTAGTAGAGAAGAATTCTAGATGTGTCCAGTCTGTTTCGTAATTTTTATAATTGTCTTATCTCTAATTCATCACAAATTGGTTTGATACTTACTATTATTTGTTCTTTCTCAAACATCCAACTTAGTTTTTATGAAAACTTCTTTTTCTTCTTCAGTATGGTTTTTAAGTTTACAGGATGCCTGATTAAATCACATAATGACAGAAATGTTAGCAAAATCGAGTGGGAAAAATACACCTACTGATCTGTATTTAGCATGTAATTCAGCCAGTGGGAATAGAAGTGTGCATTCCAGGAGAATACACTACCATTTCTAGCTTTAGTATGCTGTGCACTTCAGCATACGTGTTTCACAGATGGCTGGAGAGCAGTAGATAATCTAGCAAATAGATTAAGTGGAAGTCATTTCAAAGAGCAGCTACTATAATACCTTCACTTAATGATCTTAAAATAACATTTATTTAATAGTTACCAGGCACTGAGTTTTTCAGATTTATTGTAGAAAATAAGGAAAATATAGAAAAGTATTTTTAAAAAATATTATCACCGATCTTACCAGTAACTCACTTATGTATATTTATGCAAGATTGGAATGATTAGGTTTACATAGCTTTTATCTCATATTTGTAAGCATTTTCTCATTTTAAGTGTTTTTTGACACGATTTTTAATGCTAAAGAATAATCTTTATAGATATATAATAATTTATTTAAATCTTTTAAAAATTTTTGCTTATTTATGTTGTTTCCATTTGCTTACTATAAAGGGTATTCCTGAATGTTTGACCACATTGCTGGGTTAAACATAAGAGGATTTTAACGTCTGTTGGCACACCTTGGCAAGCACTGAAATTTTTTTTAAACCATTAAATCTTGTTCAACATCCATTTGAGATAAAATCTCTCAGAAACTCTCAAACCAAGATTAGAAGGGAACTTTTTCCTCCCTATAAATGGTGTCTATGAAACCTACATAAAAGGTGAGAGACCGAATGCTCTCTCATATGATGGGGAAAAAAGATATTTGTTCTCAGTGCTTCTGTTCAACATTGCAGTGAAGGTCCTATCCAATGCAGTAAGGCCAGAAAGAGAAATAAAGATTTGAGAGCGTGAAATAAAGCTGCCTTGATTCACATAGTATACATAGACAATACCAAAAAAATTTACAAAATGAGTTTAGTAAGGTTGTAGGATAGAAGATCAATAACCATACAAAAATATACTTCTATTTACTAGCAGTGAACAATTGGAAATTGAAATAAAGTAATATTTATAGTAGATATAACACTTAAGGATAGGTTTAACAAAGAATGTCCAAGGTACATACACATAAGACCATTCTAAAATTTATGTGGAATTCGTAAGGACCTAGAATTATGAAGACAATTGAAAGAGTATAAAGTTATTTGGTGGGGTTTTGACAAAGATCCCAATGTGAATCAATGGAAAAAGAATGGTTTTATTTGTTTGTTTGTTTGTTTTACGCCTACAGCACCTGGTCTTCCTAGGTAGTCTCCCATCTAAGTATTAACCAGGCCTGACCCTGCTTAGTTTCCAAGATCAGACAGGATCAGGCATGTTCAGGGTAGCATGGCCATAGACAACAATGGTTTTTTCAACAAACAGTGCTGGAACAATTGTTCATTGTTTTGGGGTTCCCCAAACCACCCTCATATTTAAAGATTTCTCTAGAAGGACTCACCAAACTCAGCATATAATATTTGTCTCATGGCTAAGATTTACTGCAGTTAAAGATTTACTACAAAGCAATATCAGCCTTGGCAAGAGGCACAAGGTGAACTCTGAAGGAGACCAGGTGCAGTCTTCTGAGAGTCTTCTCCGAGGGAGGTTGCACAGGATGCACTCCATCGCTGCAGCAAATGAGTTGCACCAACACGTGCAAGGTTTCCTCCTAGGGAAGCTGATCAGAGACTTGGCACCCAAGGTTTTATTGGGGGTGGTCAGAGTGGCATCTTAGCACATACCAAAATTCCAAACTCCCAGAAGGAAAGGAGATATTCAGCATAAACCACATTACGTGTACAGTTTAGACACAGTAAGCCCCTTCTATCATTTAGGGAAAGTTTCGTATCAGTGTAGGAAGCTGTTCACCATCTAAGTTCCCAGCCACCAGCCAAGGGCCATCTTTGCAAGCAGACATTACTCTGGATAGCAGTCTCAGATGTACTGTTGACTCTTTTATGCACAGTCGTCATCATGTAAAAAAAGAATCTGCTAGAACCCTTATCTAGCTCTAAATTTTAAAAATTAGCTTGAAATGCATCATAGACCTGAATCTCTGTTAGGGTATCGGTGTCCATTTATTCATCAAAGGCTTACTCGGTGCTTCACTGGTTTGCAGACACTCTGTATTAATATAAACACTTTGTCATATTTGTTTCAAATGTATGCCAGATTGTCATTTGCTTTTTAAAAAATTATCCTTTTAGACCTATAGAAATATTAATTTTTGGTTAAATCCATTGCTCTTTTCCTTTGAGACATCTATTACTTTTGTGTAAAGAGTCCATATTCTTCCAGTGAATATTCACTAATATTTTCTTCTCATTTTTTTATGCTTTTGTTTTTTATGTTTAGCTACTTAGTTCATCTGGAGTTTGTTTTACTATAATATATAAGGACCTAACTTTTTCCCCCAGATTAATTAATTGTTCAGACAGTATTGCCTCCTTTACATGTACTATCTGTTTCTATTTGCATGCTATATGCTTTTATTTCATCTGTCGATTTTTGTGCCAAAACTGTGAGTGTCCTTATCATTATACATTTATAAAACATTTTAATATCTTTTAGGGCTGATTTTCATTTGTTTATTTTTTTAAAAGTATTTTGTGGCATGGGAATCACTTCTCATTTGCTTTTTCTCACAGATGAACTGTACAGTCATTTCTTGGTTCCAAAAAGAAAGTTCTCCCAGAATTTTAATTTCAGCAGTTTTTAACTGAGACTGGGGAACTTTGGATGGGGAGAAATGTGCTCGTTGACATTAGAGTGCTTGGGGCCAGGAGGCACTTTTGAAGCACAGGAGACTAAGTGGGAAGAATGTCTTAAAGGGGAGGCTGTTAACATAGGATG